GCCTTTTTATACAGTACCTCATGGTGTGGTGACCCCAAATCATAAAATTATTTTTGTTGCTAATTCATAAATGTAATTTTGAATCATAATGTAAGTATCTGTGTTTTCTCGAGGCCACAAAGGGGCCTCGAACCACAGGTTGAGAACCTCTGCTCCAGAAGCACAGGTTGAGAACCTCTGCTCCGGAACCACAGGTTGAGAACCTCTGCTCCGGAACCACAGGTTGAGAACCTCTGCTCCAGAAGCCAAGCCGGCTATAGTCTCCCACCTCAGATGTTTCACAACAGGAGTTGTGTGTCCTTCTATTTATTAACTATTTTCCTGTATAAAATTTGAGTGACACACACACAGAAAGCCCAGAACATGTGGTACATGTCAGACAAGCTTAGCTAAAAAGCTTATATGTTAAAAGGAAACAACATACTTAAGGGAAAAAAAACCCATCTGATTATCAATGAAAATAAATTATGAAACGCCCATAAAAAAACTCATTACTTTAAATTCTAAATAAAAACTTAAATGAATGAGGTTTATTATTCATTAAGGGAAGAAAAAGACATATGTATCTGATTATACAGAGAACTATAAAATCAGGCTGTTGAATTTACCAATATGAAGGTCTTCCGTGATTGAGTAGTTTTGTTCACTGATAGGAAAAAGTAAGGTAAGCAAGGACAGGAGAAGAATTAGAATAAAAAACAAACATGTCTTTAAAAGTATGTTATGAAGAGAGCTCTCAGAATCAGACAGCGGGGAGTAAGTATCATCTAAAAATCCTGAGGAGTTGTGGAGACAAAGAGTGCGGCACATCTAAGAGGTGAGCCATTCACAGTGAGCGGCAAAGGAAACGGACAGAGTGCCATGAAGAACTAAGAGGGCAAGCCGAGTCCCCGGATCATGAAGAGCTGTGGACTGTATTCTAACTGTAATGGAAATCAACAGCTTGAGACAGCATAGTGACATGATATATTTTTTCCTCATAATTGGTGAAAATTAATTTCAAGGCAGGTGATGATGACATAGCCTTTAATCCCAGTACTCGAGAGGCAGAGGCACGTGGATTTCTGTGAGTTCGAGGCCAGCCTAGCCTGGTCTAAAAGAGCTAGTTCCAGGACATGTAGGGCTGTTATACAGAGAAACCTTGTCTCGAGAAACAAAACAAAACTAAAATTTAATTTCAAATCTCTTTAGGTTACAATGTCTTTACATCCCTATCTAGTAACACCATCCACCCTTTCCATTTCACTTCCTATAAAACAGATATATTTTTTCTACTTCCTTGCCTTCCATTTACCTTTAAAATGGATTTTATTCCTTTGGTATAGTTATGACACTAATTTCCTCAAGCTCACAATGCCTCTCCTAGGACAAACATTGATAAAATATAGTCCTCAATTTTTCATCTTTCTTTCAGAAATATTCTGCTCATCCTTTTGAGCTAAACCATATTCTTCTTCTGTTCTATATATCCCTAACCCTTCTGCATGTGAAACCCAAGGACAGCCTTGGCTACTGCTTCTCACGTACTGCTATCCAATCTGGTGTGTTGTTGCTGTTGTTTTGAAACAGGGTCTCTTTATTAGCCTGAAACTGGAAAGGAGAAAGAATATTTAAAAAATTGTTTGGACACTTAAGAAAGAGAGTTAGCCCCACCCACGAGGAAGAACTGGGCCTGATGGCCTTGGCATAGGGGAGCTGGCTCTGCCCCCTCACCTGACGGGAGAGGCCCTAGTAGACTGACCCACCCTAACATCTACTCCATCTGGGACCTGCCGGCACTCATGAAAGGACTGGTCCTGTGGGATATCTACAGGATCCCAGAGGAGCTTCAGTGAGAATCCAGTGGATCAGACCAAGACTCTTGCAATGCACATCTGCTAGGAAAGCTGACTGGACAAAAGGGTGACACCTGCAGATCCTAACGCCACCAGGATGAATAAAGAGGTGCTAGAGAGGTGGGAATGATGGGGGAGTGAAGAGGGTTGTTTTGTTTTATTTTGTTTATGTTTCCTTGTTTTATTTTGATTTTAAAAAAAATTTTCTTTGAAGGGCATCTAGGTTGTTTCCAGGTTCTGGCTATTACAAACAATGCTGCTATAAACATAGTAGAGCATATACTTTTGTTGTATGATAAGGCCTCTCTTGGGTATATTCCCAAGAGTGGTATTGCTGGGTCCACGGGTAAGTTGATCCCGAATTTCCTGAGAAACCGCCACACTGCTTTCCAAAGTGGTTGCACAAGTTTGCATTCCTACCAGCAATGGATGAGGTTACCCCTTTCTCCACAACCTCTCCAGCAAAGACTATCATTGGTGTTTTTTATTTTAGCCATTCTGACAGGTGTAAGAGGAAGAATGGATGAAGAAAGTATGGAATGTATACATATTAGAGTACTACTCAGCAGTAAAAAACAAGGACTTCTTGAATTTTGCATACAAATGGATGGAAATAGAAAACACTATCCTGAGTGAGGTAAGCCAGACCCAAAAAGAGGAACATGGGATGTACTCACTCATATTTGGTTTCTAGCCATAAACAAAGGACATTGAGCCTATAATTAGTGATCCTAGAGAAGCTAAATAAGGTGAACCCAAAGAAAAACATATAGGCATCTTCCTGAATATTAACCTTCATCAGGCGATGAAAGGAGACAGAGACCCACATTGGAGCACAGGACAGAAATCTCAAGGTCCAAACCAGGAGCAGAAGGAGAGAGAGTACGAGCATGGAACTCAGGACAGCGAGGGGTACACCCACACACTGAGACAATGGGGATGTTCTATGGGGAACTCACCAAGGCCAGCTGGCCTGGGTCTGAAAAGACCTGGGATAAAACCGGACTCGCTGAACATAGCAGACAATGAGGACTACTGAGAACTCAAGAACAATGGCACTGGGTTTTGATCCTACTGCACGTACTGGCTTTGTGGGAGCCTAGGCAGTTTGGATGCTCACCTTACTAGACTTGGATGGAGATGGGTGGTCCTTGGACTTCCCACAGGGCAGGGAACCCTGATTGCTCTATGGGCTGACAAGGGAGGGAAACCTGATTGGGGCAGGGGGAGGGAAATGGGAGGCAGTGGCGGGGTAGAGACAGAAATCTTTAATAAATAAATAAACGGTAAAAAATTTTTTTCTGGAGCTGGTGAGATGGCTCAGAGGTTAAGAGCACTGGCTGCTCTTCCAGAGGTCCCGAGTTCAATTCCCAGCAACCACATGGTGGCTCACCTGGTGCCTTCCTTGCCAGCAGTACATTGTATGCTTAATAAATAAATAAATCTTTAAAAAAAAAAAAAAAAAAAAAAAAATTTTTTTCTTTGGGGGGGTGCTGCCGGGGTGAGGGGAAGATATGGGGGGACTGGGAGGTGAGTGGAATTAAGTTTCATGACTTGAAACTTCCAAAGAATCAATAAAGAAATTATGTCAAATAAAAACTAATGTTTGGTGAAGTTTTCCAAAATTGGCAAAAGATTTAAGTCTATATATTGAAGAATTTCCTAAGTCCAAGGAGAGGAAACAGGAAGAAAAGTACACTAAGATACTTCACAATCATACTATTCAAAACTAGACATAACGAGGAATAATAATCGATAGGCTGGAGAGGTAGTTCAGCAGAAGAGCAGTTCACAATGGTACCCAGTTCCAGGGGATTTGACATCTTTGGGTTTCTGTGGCACAAAGCATGCACATGGTGCACAGACACACATGTCGGCAAAACACCCATACACGTAAAATCATACCAAAATAAAGAGATAAAATGTCATAGCAATCACACCAAAAAAGTCATGCATGTACAGGGGAACAAAATGAAGGCCATGCTTCCTGTGGGAAGATGGTAAGGAGACAATGAAGGCCATGATTCCTGTGGGAAGACGGTAAGGAGACAAAGAAGGCCATGATTCCTGTGAGAAGACGGTAAGGAGACAAAGAAGGCCATGATTCCTGTGGGAAGACGGTAAGGAGACAAAGAAGGCCATGATTCCTATGGGAAGACAGTAAGGAGACAATGAAGGCCATGATTCCTGTGGGAAGACGGTAAGGAGACAAAGAAGGCCATGATTCCTGTGAGAAGACGGTAAGGAGACAATGAAGGCCGTGATTCCTGTGGGAAGACGGTAAGGAGACAATGAAGGCCGTGATTCCTGTGGGAAGACGGTAAGGAGACAATGAAGGCCATGATTCCTGTGGGAAGACGGTAAGGAGACAAAGAAGGCCATGATTCCTGTGGGAAGACGGTAAGGAGACAATGAAGGCCGTGATTCCTGTGGGAAGACGGTAAGGAGACAATGAAGGCCATGATTCCTGTGGGAAGACGGTAAGGAGACAAAGAAGGCCGTGATTCCTGTGAGAACACAGTGGGTGCTTAGGAATTCTTTCTAATTAAACCTCCTGAACTCCTCCTAATGTCTAAGGGGCTCTTCTGAGCCTTCACTGCTCTTGTTTTCATTAAAAACTACTGGTAGAGTTGGGCATGTACTCAGCATTCAGAGGGCAGAAGCAAGAGGATTATTAATTCAAGACCAGCTTGATATTTATACAATGAGTGATTATCTCATAAAACCAAAAGTGGGTGAGCCGGGAAACACATATCTGTAACTTAAGCACTGAGAAGACAGAGAAAAGAAGACCATGAATTCAAGGACAGTGCTGGATACATACTGAGACACTGTGTCATCCACCAGGAACCCCTTTCACTACAACAAGAACAAAGAATGTAACAGGTTGACATGGTGTAAAGGGTTCAAACAGTACAATTTAAATACATTTCTTTTGTTCTCCTCTCACTACACTCTTACAGAAAAATTCTTGCTACTGTAAAAACCAAACCATTTTTCATGTCTTTCTATTGTACTGAAAGATACTTCATATGCCCATGAGGGAGTTGCACAGACTTCTTCTACCTCTCTCAACCCATCCACATGTTGGTTCCTTAGGATGGCCAGGACACAAGTTTACGTGAGTGCTAACCCAAGACAGGACATGGACATGTTCATACATACTTTCAGAGGGAGAGAAGGATGTATCCAGTGTCACTTCATCCAGAGGAATCACAAGCTGACCTCCGACCTCCCACTTCTTGCGATCAGAGGAAATGGCATTTTCTTTCTCATACTCCTTGGCATCCTTGTGACCAGCGACCTCACAAGAATCTGAGTGATGGTGATTCTCCTTTTCATCTTCCTGAGTTTTAAGATTCTCAGTTAGCCTATGCAGTATTTCTCGCTTGCTCTGAAATAGTTACACTTTAGTGAGCATATTATTAAATAAGAGCCTGACAGAGTCTCTGAAAACTGTACTTACTGAAACAGCATTGCTGCTCTTTTGCATTTCTTCTGAAGTTTCTTGGGTTTCAGTTAAATTTCCATCCTTTAAACACAAGACGGTTGAAGAGTAAGAGAAAACCATTTTAGGACTCTGAAACAGTTGATATTTTTGTTACTTTCAGTTTTTCATTTAACTGAAATTTAACCCCTGTGAACTTTTCTCATTGCTGTGAAATGTTAACACGGCTTCTGTCATTATAAATAATGACGAACATTTAAACATTATCAATCAGTTAGTAAGTTAAATGTGTGTGTGTGTGTGTGTGTGTGTGTGTGTGTGTGTGTGAATTCTCAGTTATTTGTCATGTTTGTGGGTTACTGCTAACAATTATATCTGTCTTCTTTGGTATCTAATTTTTGATAATTTAAAGTCAATGACAGGCATGAAAAGAAATTCATATACTTTGTTTATTAGAGTTAGGAAAAGGGTTGTTATGTTTTGCTTTTAAAAAAATATGGTTCTTCAGGCTAGAGATATGGCTCAGTGGTTAAGAGTATTTGCTACTCCTGCAGAGGACCTGGGTATGATTCTCAGAACCCACAAGGTGGCTCACAACCAACTTTACTCCAATTCTAAAGAACCTAACACCCTCTTCTGGCCTGTTGGGGCACCAGGCATACACACTGTGCACAGAGATACCTGCAGGCAAAACACCCAAACGCATAAAATAAATACGTCCTAAAAATAAATGATCCTGGGGACTGAATGCCTCATGCAAGTGTTCTACCACCTGAGCTAAAGTCTTAGTCCCAGGGAATGTGTTGGTAGATAAAAGAATTCAGGATAAGCTGTGTTATTTTGAAAACACTTTGTTACATACACATACACATTAAGACAAAGCTTTAAACACAATTAACAAGTAGCTTTCTTATCTATGGAAAGAAGTTAAGCAAAAACAGATTCTTACTTTTCTTCTGATTAGTATAAAGATATTCTTAAAAACTTAATATTTAAAAATATATTAAAAGAAAAAGATTAGTTGTTATGAAGGCTATACCAGTGTGACTAAATAATCTTCAAAGTTTTAAATGAGCAGTTTCTATAAACACAACAATAAGAAAAACGATTTAGTCACATGATTACCACAGATTTCTAACACTTGAAAAACATAAGCATAGTGATCAGAATTAGAGTAACACATGTAAATGAGACAAGGAGGATTTTACCCAGGAAAGCAGTCAGAGATGACAGGTACTGGAGATGTGAGACTGGGTACCAGGAAGGAAACCACACAAGGAATCTAAAGTTGTAAACAATGTGGCACATGCTTAGTCATTATCAGAAAGAGATAAAACCTACTGGGAGAACAGATTCTTACACGAAGCTCTGAACAGGGACATAGAGCTTTATACTCTGCCTTATTTCCAAGATAAGCACAAAGGCTGCAGAAAATCTCTGTAGTAATCAATAATCTCTGCAGTATGAAAAACATCTAAGGAATCTCAACAAATACAAGTCACAGACAGTAGCTATTGGGAAAGGAAAACAGAGGTTCCTAGGTTGTAGGGCTCAGCAGACTGTGTTCAGAACAGTTTAACCCAGGGAGTCACTCCACATTTGGAGCCATTCCTTTCATCCAGAATGGTCTTTTTAGACAGGTAACCTGGTGCACACTTACAAGTTTAAACTTTTGCTTGTTCGCATATTTTTGTTTGTTTTATTATCTATATAGCTAGCATACAGAGACAGAAGTAGAAGGTAAAAAAATGAATTACATTGAACATCATTTCCCATGTTACAAAATTTCAAATAGGTGTAGAGTTCATTTCTATAGTTATTTACTTTAAGTACTATAAAAGATATTATTCTTTAAAAATTTGCCAATCATGAGGGTTAAGGTACAAAACTGTTTGCCACATTATTTTCAGTATATTGCTTTCAAATGTTTTTACTACATTTAATTAGTGTGTGTGTGTGTATGTTTGCTGCTGCTGCTACAATTACATGCACATGGAAGTCAGAAGAAAACTTGTGGGAGTTGATCACTCCTTCTACCACGTGGGTCAGTCTCAGGGATCAAACTCTGATCGCCAGGCATCGTGGCAAGCTCCTTTCCCCACAGAGCCATCTTACTAGTCTATCAGAGAGTCATTTCAACACAATGCCCTTTCTATACGCATGCATCTGTGAGACACTGGTTCTAAGATCTCTCTGCTCCCTTGCCAAAATCCACAGGTGCTCAATTCTCATATTTAAAATGGTTAAGTGCATACAGCATATGATATCCTGCACATACCACGAACTGTCTCTAAATTAGTTACAAAACCTAACAGACAGATATGCTATGAAAACAGTTGTGATACGGTTTAACAGCATGAACATCAGCACTACAGAGGCCATCAGTACTGGCCTGGGTAAGCACATCAGCAAAAACATGACTTTATTTCTCAAACACTTTGGATCTGAAATTGATTAGCTCTGTATATAGGGAATCTTCAAAAGCAGAGTGTTCAAGGCACATTTATCTATAACTGAGACCTAGATAAAAATCTATGGGCAGAAAAGTTCCAAAATTCAGAGGAAGCCAAAAAAAAAAAAAATCCAGAAGACAATCTTTTTACTCTAGGAAACAACAAGGAGGCATTAGAAAAAAATGTAATCCATTAAATTCATTTTCGCTTAAATTGATCTGTAGTCTTTGAGGAGCTCTAAATTTTATGAAACTTACCAGGCCCACTTCTTTCAAAGCCGAAGTCACAGAAATAACAGGTCTCATTTGCTGCTTTGATGGAGAACCCCCCGTTTCTTGATGCTCCAAAGGTAGAGAAATATCTGAGCTCCTTACCTTCACCACCAACTGCAAGAAACAGAATACACAGCTAAAAACACTGGATTTCATATCCTCATAGAGAAATAAAAGGCCCCAAGATATCTCTAATGCATAGTACAAATAGCTTTCAATTCCTTAATTCCTCACTGGGCTGGACACTATGATACATGCTGGTAGAACGTGAACACAGAAATCCCCAGCTGCATGTGTAAACGTGTCTGACAAGCAGTCCTAAATAAAACTGGCTACCACTGCTCTAGTAATGTCTCATAAAATGATTCCGCCAAAAGTCTTCAAGGGTCATGAGGAATGCTCAGTAGTTAATAGTGCTTACTTCTCTTGCAGAGAACCTGTGTTGAATTCCCAGCACCAATACAGTAGCTCACAACCATTGTCAACTCCAGTTCCAGGAGATCCAATGCCCTCTTGGCCTCCATGGGCTCCTGCACACACTTGGTGCACATAATCTCACAGAAGCATACACACATACCCATAAAAATAATAAATACACGCATAAACAATGTGTAAGAGTCATATAGAATATTCATTTCTAATACCATTATGTTATTTTAATCTAATACAATGTTTAATGTAAAAGTAGTTTAATAATTTTATATTTCATAAAGAAATGCTTCTAAAATTTCTCCCAAATTTTGTAGTTTCCTTAAAGCCTGAAACCCATATTTCGACACAAGTGCACTTTTATCAGGTGCTAGTCATTGGGACTCTAATCAGCATAAATATTGTGAGCTTAAAATTTTACTATTATAGTTTGTATTTGTGCATTTGAGGTGACCCCAGAGGTTCCCCTGAGCTAGCGTTTCAGGAAGTTGAGAGCTGCTTGAAGCAGGTCCTGTGATCTGTACTTGGGTGCTCTGCAAGAACACTCTTGAGCCATCTTTCCAGCTCTCAGACAGTAAACTTCTGAAATAAATAGAGGCAGTGGAATTAGCTGTACTGGTGTAGCACAGAGTGAGTTGCTCCCAACTTCAAATCTTTCTTGATTACTAAGACTTTCAGTAAGTATATATTTCAGGTAGTTGTTACAGAGTGTAGTGTGAATTCTAATTGGTCTTAATAATAAAAACCCAGAGTCAATATCGGGGCAAACGCTGGAAGATCAGAGAAGTATTAGGGAGCCAGCCAATAGAGTGACTTGACTGAAGTGGGCAAGATCCTGTCCCCAAGAATCCTCAGACTGAATGGGCTGAGTTCCTGTTTCTTCCTGCCATATATTCCTCTCTCCTCCCAGCCATATCCTTTCCTGTCCCCACCTCCCTAGCACTGGCACTAAAGGCATTTGACTCTCAAGTACTGGGATTAAAGGGGAGAGCCACCACCTCCTGGTTCTGTTTCTCTTTTACACTGAATCAATCTCACGGTGGCCTCGAACTCACAGAGATCCATCTGCCTCTGTCTCCCAAGTGCTGGGATTAAAGATGGTGCCACCACTGCTTAGCCTTTATGGCTAATTAGTGGCTAGCTCCGCACTCTGATCTTCAGACAAGCTTTATTTCTTAGAATCACAAACAAAATGCCACCACAACTGAGCTATGAATAAAGTGGTAATTCTAATATTTAGACTTCCAATTTTTATTATACCAGTATCTATGTATTTAAACAGTGGCACAACTGATATGGGCAACATTATTAATTATACTGATTTCAAGATGTGAAATAAATTTTTAAAGTATCTAGAACTCATAACAACTAAGTACTCTCACTGTGAAGGAATATGCTAATATTTTGAAACTGTTTTGTTAACGTAAGAATGTATATTAAAGGCCTCTCAAATTCTATGGGAATCAGAATAAATTCTAAAATTGTCCTACATAACATCAGCATTTTAGAATATATTAAAAGTTTTAAGTGATTTCTATAAAAACTGGGGCAGATACCAATAAACCAAAATTAAGAAACTGCTGAGAAACACCGTGGTTGTAAATAGTGACATTTCTAGAATCTTGTGCTGATTTTCTTGAGGATATACTTCCTAGAATTTCAATACATGACTCTAATGTGATTCTTTCATGAGTAAACAAATTCATAGGTCTTGGTATCTACTGACAAACTGAGAGTTGTACTACGTTCCTATCTGTACAAACAATCTAGGTGACGAAGACCATAATGAGTGAGGCAGGGTTCTCTTATAAAGGCTGCAAACTGCAATGGAAAGGGAAGTAACTGACTGTACACCTGAGAAACACTACCTGATCTGAACTAGAAGGAAACAACAGACAAAAAACAAGAACCGAGTGTGTAAGTCAGATGAGGTGCTGAAGATAGCAGCCTCCAAGGCACCCTGAGCCTCAGCAGCCCTTCAGGGTCAAAGTCGGACACTCCTACACCCAAGGTCTCAAACTCAAACTTAATACTCTTGTGATTTTTCATTGCTTCTTGGACTCTGAGACTCAGTTTCTTCCTCTAACAAAAGAGTGATGTCCTCATTTTCTCTTTTCTGATGAGATCAAATGAAATAAGTTGTGTGAAGCACACAGCAATTATTGATTTAACCTTTATCAAATAAGATCATTTGGCATAAGCACCAAAAGCTTAGATTGAATTACTGATGAATTAACTTGCAGAAGCCAAGTTTCTGATCTTAAGAATGCAGAACAAAAACAAAAAGTCATCTGTGTATAATCGGAGTTTGAAGTTTAGGCAGTGCACTGGAGGTTTAGAACAGAAGTTCACAAGAAATAGTGATCCACAAGTCGAATACCTTACCTTATGAAATTCAGAGAAAACTATGACTTAAAAGGATCAAAAAGTAATATAGTAGTTGTATGAATAATTAAATAGAAGTTACAATAAGTATTGAAACAATTTCACTAAGGAAAATAGCATCAAATGCCCTTCTCAACTGATTCATGAATTTCAAGAATAGCTTTTTTGTTATTATTGTTTTTATTGAGCTATATTTTTTTCTGCTCCCCTCCCTTTCATTCCCTTTCCCTTCTACCTTCTCCATGGTCCCATGCTCCCAATTTACTCAGGAGATCTGGTCTTTTTCTACTTCCCATGTAGATTAGATCCACTTATGTCTCTCTTAGGGTCCTCATTGTTGTCTAGGTTCTCTAGGATTGTAAATTGTGTGTGTGTGGGGGGGGTTTCTTTGATTTATGTCTAAAACCCACTTATGAGTGAATACATATTATATTTGTCTTTCTGGGTCTGGGTTACCTCAGTCGAGATGATGTTTTCTAGATCCATCCATTTGCCTGCAAAATTCAAGATGTCATTTTTTTCTGCTGTGTAGTACTCCATTGTGTAAAGGTACCACATTTTTCTTATCCATTCTTCGATCAAGGGGCATTTAGGTATTTCAAGGTTTTGGCTATGACAAACAATGCTGCTATGAACATAGTTGAGCACATATCTTTGTGGAACGATTGAGCATCCATTAGATATATACCCAAAAGTGGTATTGCTGGGTCTTGTTAAGGTTGTTTCCTAATTTTTCTAAGAAATCCCCATACTGCTATCCACGGGGTTGTACCAGCTTGCACTCCCACCTGCAAAGCAGGAGTGTTCCCTTTACCCCATAACCTCTCCAGCATAAGTTGTCATCAGTGTTTTTGATCTTGGCCATTCTTACAGGTGTAAGATGGAATCTCAGAGTTGTTCTGATTTGTATTTCTCTGATGGCTAAGGATGTTAAGCATTTCCTTATATGTCTTAAAGAATATCTTATGGGGCTGGAGGAATGGCTCAGCAGTTAAGAGTACTGTTTGTTCTTCCAAAGGTCCTGAGTTCAATTCCCAGCAACCACATGGTGGCTCACAGCCATCTATAATGAGATCTGATGCCCTCTTCTGGCCTGCAGGTGTACAGAATACTGTATACATAATAAATAATAAAGAAAACATTAAAAGAAGAATATCTTAAAAGCTATTTTGAAATTACTGGGCAGTCACCTATTAATAGGGCCATAAAGGAAATTCTTGAAAGAAAGACCAATACTCTCACTGCCTCAACAAATTATACTTAATTTGGTCATAATGATTTTTGTGTATGTATGAAGGCAAAAGATTGATGTCACGTGCCTTCCTCGATCATTCTGCAACTTATTTTGGTAGGTAGGCTCTCTCACCGCGCCGCCTGCAGATTTTTTCTAGATTGGTTGCTCAGTGAATCCAAAGGATCTTTCTGCCTCAGCCTCCCCAGTACTGGAATAATAGGTGTGCACAGCCTTGCCCAGCTGTTATGTCAGTGCTGTGGATCTGAATTTAGTCCCTTAGGCTTCTTGTAGCAGGAACTTTGCCACTTAAGCTATCCCCCTATCTACATTTACCCATACTTGTTAAAAAGTTCTTTCAAGCTAGGATGTAATTCAATGGTAGACTAGCTGTCTACTATGAGGAAGCACTTGATAATACAAATTAAGTTTTTCTTATCTACGTAATTCCTATATACATAAACATATCCACTGCTGGGAAGTGTGGCCTTGTTGGAGGAAGTGTGTCACTGGGGGTGGGCTTTGGGATTTCAGATGCTCAAGCCAGGTCTAGTGTCACCCTCTCTCCCTGTTGTCTTGCTGCTCTGGATGTGGAACTCTCAACTACTCTCCAGCACCATGTCTCTCTGTGTGCCGCCATGCTTCCCACCATGATGACCATGGACTGTAAACCAGTCCCAATTAAAAGTTCATCTTTACAAAAAAAAAAAAGAACAACAAAACAAACAAACCAAAAATAAAATTTTATATAAGACGAAACCCATGAAGTCTCAAAAATCAAAAAGTCACTTTTTAAAATGAAATTGATCACATGGCCAATGAAACTGATCACAGGGGTAAGTCTAGAATATTTACTTCCTTCTCTGTATAGTTTTACAAAACTCATTCAGTTTTAAATAGAAAACCTTTCAACAGGACTAAAACATTTACTTGAAAGTTTCACAAGTCAGATTTTTGTATGTGTTTGTATATGTGTGTGTGTATATATATATACATATACATATATGTACATATATATATATACACACACACATACATATATGTGTGGATTCGAGAGTGACACGCTGCCTACTGTGTGTATATATGAGTGAGTGAGTGTGTGTGTGCATGCATTTGCCCAGGCTGGCACATAGACCAGCACAGCCTTCAAAGTGTGTCTCAGGCTCCTAAATGCTGGGAATACAGGCACAAAGTACCATAATGAAGATAAGAACCTTTTTTTCTTATGGTACTAGGAATCGAACCCAGAGCTTGGGCAGGCTAGGCAAGTCTTGACTGTTGAGCCACATCCCTGACTCTTGGAAGACAGGCTTTAAAATAAATCTATAGAAGCGCACATCCCTGCCATGCCCTCACAAGCTTGACAAATTTAAGACATTTTCACATTACTTACACCTCCACAGGCTTTCAGTTACCATTACAAGATTTTCTATTTTCTATTTTAATTTCACTATGTGCTGAAAACTTAAATCCGTGGTAGCACCAAAAGACAAAAGTAAAGCTGTAATCAAAATAAAAAAAATGGAGCAGCTTTACAAATGTAAATCACTACGGACCTCTCAAGTCTTAAGTCACAGAACAGTAGCCATCACTCCTCTTCTGTATGTGGATTAGGGAGGATGAGTAGGTATGCCAGGACCAGGCCAAAGGGGCCGACTTCATATCCTGAATATGGAATAATTTTGCATGTACTTAGCACCTAAGGATACATCACAGCTAAACTTCTGTTGGAAGAACAAATCCAAACTATCAGCTGGCAGAACTGAGACCAAAAGTCAGATGTCTCATTCCAGACACATTTTCCCTCCTATACTAGGCTATAATCAATAAACAAATGTTTCTTGAACAATCCTCTATACAGATTTGAAATAAGCTGAGTCATAAAATTCACAACAAATATATCCACTTGTTCCTTATCTTCCTTATCATCATCATCATCATCATGACAAAGCTAATCTGACGCTGTGTTTTCTGAGTTACATGAACTTGAGCTGATGGAGGCACAAAATTCTGAGTGAGCAGGGTCTACAGGTCTAGGAAAAGCAATATTTGATAATGTGCTATGCCAGTCACAGGATGAACTGAGACACAGACATTCACTCTACCTTGGGGGAACACAGGTAATGAAACAAGCAAGCAGAGGCCTGCTGCTAAAGAGGGCCTATGTGTGCATATTGATGGGAGCAGTTAAGTAGCTGACCCAGTAGCCAAGACTGTGGGGGAAACAAAAAGTGAAGCTCATGTCAACTATTATCAAACAATAGCTGGTGGATGATAAAAAGGAGACTGTGCCAGTCAGCTCAAAGTTCCAGTGCATAAGTCCCAGGCATGAAGAGGTCAAAGGAGCTGAATAGGAGCCTATTCTGCTGTTCTAAGTAAGGCCCACTGTGTAGAACTGAAGCGTGCCAATGTCTTCTAAGCAAAATAAACAACAACAAGAACAAAAAGCTATGAAAGACCTCAAGAAATGTAGAGGACAAAAATAGAAAGTTGTCAATACAAATAATATAGATTATGAAGAAGGGACTGGGGCAATGAGGCCTTATTAAGTTCATTCCTGAACACCATATAACATGAGAGTGATGGTGTATGTCCTGTAATCCTAGTACTCGAGATTAAAAAAAAAAAAAAAAAACAAGGATCAGAAGTTCAAAATTATCTTCAGCTCCATATTCAGTTTGATTCCCATCTATATAGACCCCAGCTGAAATAATAATAATAAAAATGTCTAAAATTAAAATAACACAAAATAAAGAGATGGTTTAGGCAAAGCCTTTTTAGTACAGAAAATATTTTCTTGAGAGTGGCAGGGTAAACCAGATAGGCTTCAGAGTTGTTTTTAGCAGAGCTCTCTGATACTATCAATAGTTCTTCTTAGGTTCTGTCAAGCAGTTTTTGGTCTATAGTATGCTTTACCTCCCTTTAAAATGTCAAGGAATATCCACAAATTTCTGATGATATTTACCTTCTTTTGCATTATTACATCATTATAAACTTTGCATTGTAATGACGAACATCAAAGTTTTCCTTGGTAATCTTAGAGCATTATGACTATGTCTTAAATGAAGAAAGTGTGGAATATATACATATTAAAGTACTACTTAGTGGTAAAAAAAACAATGACTTCGTGAATTTTGCTTGCAAATGGATGGAAATAGAAAACACTATCCTGAGTGAGGTATCCCAGACCCAAAAAGATGAACATGGGATGTACTCACTCATAATTGGTTTCCAGCCATAAATAAAGGACATTGAGCATATAATTTGTGATCCTAGAGAAGCTAAATAAGAAGGTGAACCCAAAGAAAAACATATAGTCATCCGCCTGGATACGGGAAGTAGACAAGATTGCCGGGCAAAACCTGGGATCTTGGGGGTGAGGTGGCATGGGGCTAAGGGGAAATGGGGTGAGAAACGTGAGAAGGAGAGAATG